ATTTTGTTTTCTTAAGCCATTACTTTGACTTAAAGCGCCGTTTCTTGTCTACAAAGTTTTTTTTTTAGTTAAGTCGGTACGGATTCAACTTAAAGTCAGGTTATTTTAGTTAAAAAAGCTTCGTTTTGCTATCGATAAAAAGTTCAAAAAGCGATAACAAAACAACGTTTCTCAAACTCTTGAAAACCTAATTTTGTCGACAAAAAGTGGCTCTTCAAGTCAAAATAATATCACAAGAAAATTCTTTATCTGTGTCTCCAAAATTTAAGATCGAAATCCTCTGAAAATTCAACCTGGAGAAGTTATTTTCAGACACGATCTCCTGGCAACGCTCCGTGAAGGCTTCCCGTCAGACTCATCCATTCCATTTGAATGTGGCCCTCTGCAGATCCGTCATCGATCCCTATGGGATTTCAATATAATGGTAGTAACCCTTCCGCTCTCAGAGTAAAGACAGGGTGTCTACAAGTCCGAAAATAGTACTGATTTTTTAAGAGTGGTCCGGATGTGCTGGAAAAATTCGGGAATTCCGCAAAAAGGTCCGGAATTTTTTTTAACTTTTCGTCATTTTTGTCGCAATTTCAATTCGTTGAAACTTTTAATTTCGTCGAGTGGAGGTACCGGAAAAGTATGAAATTTTTCTGTTGGAGAAGATACTGAATGTCTCGAGAACGTACTGAAAAAGTACTGTAAAAGTACTTTAATTTCGACCAGCCTGTTGTAGTAGGCACCTTGAAAGATCATGAATAGCTACAGATGACGGTTAACCTATCAATACAGCTGGAATAGAGAGATCAACTATCTTAACTCATAAAAAACTTTGTCCCATGCTGTTGTCTAGTAATGCGGGTATCACGATAGAACTGTGGCAAAACCATAAATTTAACTTCGGCGCCAACTGATTAAATGTTCGATTTTATTGTCGGTACCACTACCCGCAGTTTTGATATCCTACGCGCCGATCCGTCGCGAAAAAGAAACTTTTCGTCTCATCCTCAACAGTGGATCAGTCGAACGGTCAAGGTTAGGCGTGAAATTCCTTTGACTCCCAAAGCCAAGGAATCGAACTAATTCTCTTCCATTTTTAGTATCGTACGTCGGTCTGTGACGCTCCTGCTAGTTTTTTGGCTTGGCATTTCGATGGTAACTCCTCATGACGGTTCTTCCTCCTTATGGCCTGGTTACACGCTCAAATTTCCGTCAAATTCCGATCAAAATGATGACCAAGACGGCGGTCGATAGTTATCTAGATTGATGAGTACAATTAATTTAAACAGCGTGATGATTGAAATAAGCATGAAATAAGCACGGTTGTGTGGAAATCAGATGAAGGATGAGCCCCACAGCTCCATCATCTACCATCAAATTTTTGCAGGCCGCAGAAATTTGATGGTAGATGGTGCGCACCAGTCACCATTTGATCGGAAATTGATGGAAATTTGAGCGTGTAACCAGCACATTAAAACCGTCTGCCAGTGTTCTACCGGATTTATTTCGGTGGGAATTTTTCTTCTACCGTACCTCTCGGCACATGACTTGGATTTAGTGACAGTGAACTTTGGTGGTATTAAAGTCAATCCCTTCTCTCCGGGTAATCTCGGGTTTGCAAAAGTTTCATTTGCTTTTTTCCTTTGAAAACATTCGTCCTCTACCCTTGTGTTAAAAATGTCAAAAACAATTTTTGATCCTTTGGAACTGGGAGAACTGTTAAGACTGAACTTGAGGTCAACTTGGTGGTTGGACAATGCTGAAGGGCTTCTCGAGTTTTCACGGTGCGGCTCTCACAGTGGTGATAGTCTTGATTTGGCAACAGTGTTCTTCGTTTAAATGTGTGTTGAACAATCGATTCTGGGTAAAGCAATCCGCTTCACCTAGAATCGATATTTATAATGGACGTATACAGAGGAAAAATAGTGTTGCCAACCGGCGAGAATCTCTGTTGGATTTGGATAATTTCAGCGTAGATACATCCGATTTGCTGTGTACTTAATCCTCAATCACTTAATTTATATTCATTACCTTTTTCAAAAATGATAACCTTGAATTCTTTGACTCAACTCCTTGTTTTTATTTCTGTTTCAGGTATGACACTTCGCATGTTCGCTGTTAATAGATGAATTGAAGTTTGGAATGGGATTATTTCAAATGATGCCCCGCAAATGTTTGTATGTATTACTGTTTATTATCATACGATTAAGAAAAAAGTCGTTGATCAAGCGATGATACTGGTAATTAATATGACAAAGAAGAAGATAAGGAATAATACTCTTGATTCAAGCGGATTTTCGCTCAGATCGAGAGCCAAGCCTCTTAATTTAAGAATATTTCCTTTTGATTCAAGCAAAATTTCGATTGAATCCAGAGTAGTTTCTCGTGTCAATTTTTTAAGAGTCAAGACTCAAGATCCGAGGGACTTTTGTATCAGTGTAGTTCCTTACTGCAAAGTGCACTGGAAAAAAAAACACATTGGATCTAGAGTCCAGACTCTTGAAAACATTGACAAGAAAAAATATTCTTGATTCAATCGGATTTTTGCTTGAATCAAAACGAAATCCGCTAAAATCAAGAGGCTTGATTCTTGATTTAAGCTAGATTCTGATTGAATCAAGAGTAATTTTTCTTGTCGATGTTTTTAAGAGTCTGGACTCTAGATCCAATGTGTTTTTTTTTTTTCCAGTGTGAATTGCATCTGATAGATTGATTTTTCAATAGAGTGCATTTGATCTTTTCCTCAAGCAAAATTCTCCCTGCAATATTTCTCTCCGGTAGACTGAACGGTTCCACGATGAAGCGAGCCTGTCTCAGCCACCGCCGCCGCAAAACAAGTCTCCGATCATGACCTCCAATTTACAAGTTCAAGAAAATCATACGTCTGACCGTTAATCTGACGTGTAGTTTTTACTCCTCGGCGACTTTTTCCCGTCTGCCCGTCTCGCCGCGTCCTTGGGCCTATAATGAGGTTCAGACGAGTTTTAAAAAAATTCCACTTCGAGCGGTGCGCGTGTGAGGGAGCGTCATCCAAATAGCCATCGATGGAACTGTCTCCGTGAAAAAAATAAAAAAAGTTCGCCTACTTATTTCGAGAAACAACGAACGTAATTGTGAATAAAATTGCAACAAAGTGTAGATTTGCTCGTGTTGTGTTTTTGAAGTTGTCCAGGCGCTCGCTTTAATCTCTTTGGTCGTGACGTAGTGGAATCGTTTGGTAATTTTGACGTTTAAAGTTAATGTTTTTCATGTTGGGTTTGTCGAAATGATTATAGACTGTCGTGCTAAGGAAAAACATTGGAGGGTTGCCAAATTTCCTCTCGAAAAATGTTATTTTTGAAGGAAGTTATGAATCTTTTTCCTTGAAATTCTCAGGAACTTTCGGTGAAATTGCTAATAAAAGTATCTGAAAAATTGGAGGGAAAATATTTACGAATTTTCCCAAAAATTCGTGACTTACCAAAGGAAATTTGGCAACGCCTGAAGGTTCATACGGCGTTCTTCCTTAGCACGGCAGTGGAGCAGTAAGTCAGGGTGTCTACTGAGGTCCACGAAAATAAAATACGTACTTTTTAGGTATACTGAAGGAAAAATTTAAGTACCTCGCCTTGGGGAAAAATTTTGTACTTTTTAAGTACCTTTTCTATATGTAAGGGTTATTTTAAATAATTGACCGATTTTAATCGCGGTAATTGGAGAAAAATTGGGAATAGACATAAAGATACGATGCCTCGAGGTACATTGTTACAAAACATCGATTCACAAATTCATTCTTCCTAAAAAGTACCACTCAACGCATACGAAAGTATTGAATTCAAAATTTTAAAATTAATTCAAGTTATGGATGTTTCAATTCATTTTAAAATTTAATTGAAACTAAAGATGCTTTCATTCCTCTTCACTTTTAATTTAAATATGATTACTTATGCACTTATTGATTTATTAAACTCAGAACAGAATTGCTGCATTCATGACAATCTTCATTTCAGGCATAAATCAAAATCGAATGCAATTCCCCTCAACTTTCTTGCATATTTTTGAGGATCGTATTTGACCTTCGTAGGGAATTTACTTCATTTCTCAGTGGCTTTAATAAAGGACGAAAAAAAAAGTCCTCATAGACTCTTATTTCTAATAACGTAAAATAAATGTTCAATGTGGCAGAAATTTGCTTCGCCGTACATCTGAGAAAAAGTGTTTCGAACATAATAGCGATGCCCAAACGACGAATTCGTAAACATTTAAGGAAATCCGGAGAACCATTTATGACCTTAGCAAACATGTTTGCCACTCCTAAGACCTATTAAATTTTCTGCATTCATGGAAACGCCCGTTTTAAAAATACACATGCTGGATCGGATCTTCCTCCTCGTTTCACTCCTTAGTGTATGTAATTGTGTGTGTAATTTAGTGTATTTAACACTCCTGTGTGTGTAATTTAGTAGGTTGTACGACGTATAAGCTCCCTTGACTGGATGTTCAATTCTCACTACACTGCGAAATCTAACTCTCTCGAGTAAGTTTACACTCTCGAGTAAGCCTTTATTTGTACGTAATGGGTCATTGGATTCGTTCACGATTAGAGTATCAGTCTGCACTTTATGACTTGAGAATTTCACGTTGAAACATTGAGACAGCAAAACGATACATCGAGACCCAATTAGCCCATTAAAGAGGATCGTTAAGCGGGCCAGTTAAGAGCTGATAAAGGCACGGTGTGTGTCGAATGAATTCGCTCATTCCCGTATGTTTCTCTGATTTTTGGCGGAAAATCCCTGAGTGAAAAAATTATCCGGGATTTATTCACGCCAAAAATCGGAAAATTTCGAGTCGAATATCAGGAAAAATCAGGAAAACCCGAAATTGAATCGTAGTAGTCATCCTGGAAGACCCAAGAGAAATAAATAAGAGAAGACAATCGGGAGGAAAATATAAAAGCAGTCCATCATTTATTTACACCCCTTAGATCTAGACCAACCCCTCGTCACCACCAAGTACTGCAGACAAGTTACCTTTGTTGGAATTCGGTTTTACTTTTGAATTTATCCCATTTCATGTCTTTAATCAAATTTGGATTTGATCGGAGGTGAAAATGATGAATCCAGTGCGTAATCCACGATGGTGCACACAAGTCACTCCGACACGCACTCAAGACATCGCACTCGCGAACACCCCGTATAATCCTCGTCGGAACACCCTGTATTATAATTTACCCCGTCGAAAATTCAAGCTGCGAATCGCCGAAAAATCTCGGGGTTTCCAAAACGCACTGAAACGACCACTTTGTACTTCACTATTCGGTTTTATCGGGGAATTCGACGCGAGCCACTTGAAAGTTGGGGTGTATAGGGGGGTGTTTTTATGAAATTTTTGGGGTGAATTTGGGCGTTTTTTTCTTGAGGATGGAGTTTTCCGGGGTCGGAAAAGATCGCGAATCGGGAGCGCGGGTCACATGGCGGAGCGTGATATCCGCGGCGGTGTGTAGAGGCTGCGGTCGCGTGGCCAACTGCCCGAGTCAGACCGCGAGCTAGCGGACCTGCGCTCGCGCTCGCGATCGCTCGCGCGTTTTCCTTGTCGCTCCCGCGCGCGCTGCTCTCTTTCCGTCTTTCTCTCGCTCGGCCGCATGGTGGGCTCTCCCAGGCTGTGCGTTGTCGAAATGATTGGAAAATTTGTTGTTAAAATTCTTTCAATTAAATCATTTGGTTAATGACGAAAAGTCAAATCCACTCGAAAAATCAAATAAAGGTGACAGGCGACATAACGATTTTTCCCTGACATTTCCAGATTTTCCGTCACGTTTTAAAATTCTCATGACGTTTCCCCGTATTCTTCGACAGTGACAACCAACTCCGTAAAACTGTAAAAAGTGGAAATCAAATTACCAAAAAAAAAAAAATAAAAAAATAAAAAAAAACAAGAATTTTTAAAAACAAGTTTTCCAATGATTTTTGAGGATGCACTGACTCGCACTTGATGATTTTCCTTTGACATTTTCGTTATTTTCTAGATATCTCCAGGTTTTCCCTTACTTTTTAAAATTGCCCGACATTGCCCGGTTTTCCCTGACTACGCCAACTATATAAAACTGAAAAAGCATGTGTCCCATTAAGGAGGGTATTTTGGCCCTAACCTTGGTCGAAAATTGAAACAGCTTAGAATAATGTCATGTCTGGTCAGATCGACTCTTAATCATTTACGCTGTGAGAACTTGTCCTTATTTGAGGTGTTTTTGAAAGGTTTTTGCCTGATTTACCAGCGCAAAGTAGTGAATACGTTGGTCCATTTTCACCAATCCTCTGCCTTAATCTTCCGTGACAATGCGTCTCAGCCTACAGGACCGCCTCATTTTCATTTTTGTCTTCTTTGGCAATAATTTTTTTCATAAATTTCAGTAATCAACCCGCAGAATCCGAAAATCCACGACTGTGGCACCAATATTCCCTTGATGAATACCCTCGTTTAAGTCTAGCCTATAGATTGCTTAGAGACTTAAACGCAGGTATAGAAAAGGAAACCGTTCCTTGACGTCAATTTGAACCACCCGTTACCATCAAAAGAATCACTCAGTGTTCCTCTTGCCCCCTTTATCTATCCTTTCTAAGTATCATATCCGATATCAGCCCTTACCTCCGCAATTTTCCGATCACAAACTTTCCTTTCGATTAGGTTTTCGCTGAGTAGGGATCTTAAATCGGGTCGACGCAGGCCGACCGTGCGGCGCATTTTGCTGCTCCAATCGGCAGTCGGCGCACTTTGGTACACGTCAATGGAAAAAAAGTCAGACCTAAAATTTTTGACTGAAACTGCAAATTTTGATGTTTACTCCGTCAAATGGAGATGTTGCATGTGTGAGGAATTTGCGATTTGACTATTGATTCTTGTGTAAAAGTTTGTGAGAAACAAGATGGTGCCACTGGTTTTCTCTGAAATCAACTCCCAAGCTCAAAAAAAGCTCTCAAAATGTGGGAAAAATGGAGGAGATATCCCACCCTACCCTGAGAGTCCACCTCTACATCAAGACAAACTCTCCATGCAAAGATAGGGAGCAAATACATCGACAGGGCTGCCACTTTATTTGGGGACTCCAAAACTGAAAACACGGCATCACTGCTAATGTATTTGGTCCCTACCTTCGCATGGTGAGTTTGTCTTGATGTAGATGTGGACTCTTAGGATAGCGTGAGATTACCCCTCTATTTTGGTCTCAACTTGAGAGCTTTTTTTCAGCTTCGGAGTTGATTTCAGAGAAAACCAGTGGCACCATCATGCTTCTCGCGAACTTTTACACGAGAATCAACATTCAAATCGCAAATTCCTCACACATGCAACATCTCAATTTCAAATTTTCAGAAGTGATTCTGAAAGAGAACCCCACGAAAAAACCAATGGAACCGCTTTTAAAACCTCGACATTTTTTAGTAACGGAGTTAAAAGCTTACGAAGTGTTCACATTTTGTCCGACATCTTCCAGCGAGTCGTTCTAGCGTGCGACGGCCCCGGTCACACCTGTAGTAGACCCCACTCGGGCAAGCTCCAGTTGATCTATTATCTCGCTTCACGTTTACTCTCGTTTTCAACCGGCCGCTCCCGAAGTGGGGGGGGGAGGGGGGCGCCGTCTCCCGATGACTAATTCTGTTATCCGCTCGGGATTAGCGTAGATCAGTGACGTGCCGTGCTTTGCGATATATCGATCGATCCACCATTTAAACCCACGGAAAAGGATCGATAAACAGGGTGGCCGCAACGGGCACCTTAATAATCGATTCTTTACCATAGCTTCAAATGGGGAAATATCGACAATCGATCGTTCGCGCCTCGACACTGATCACCACCGGGACGCGCCCCTCTTTTCGTCTTTTCCCGGACGAAGGAACTTAACTCCATTCCAAGCTTGTCAAATTCACTTGAATAATTTCATTTTTTTAATGAAAGTGCACTGAAAATAAAATCTCGGTGTCTCTACTAAGAAAAGGGTAAAATTACCAAGAATTCAGGATTCTATTTGATTCGAGTTTTTTCTTGGTAAAATTACCATTTATGGAATTGGAATTCTACCGAGAAATCTCGGTAAAATTATTGACTTTCTCGGTAATTTTACTGGACCCCGGTAAAAACGCTAATATTTTTTATTGACTGTGGTAGAATTACCGAGATAAAATGGCAAAGTTACCGGGAATCAATTACCAATAAAAGTGGTATTCTTACCTGAAAAAAAAACAGTAAAAATTCCGGTTTTTAGGTAAGTTTACCAGTCTGTCTTGGTAAAATTACCAATAATTGGTAAAAAAAGTGAGATGGTAAAGGTACCAACGGACCTTGGTAAAAACGCCGTGAATTTTTTTTCAGTGTGTACTTGTGCAATTTTTGTTTGAAATGTTTCTGATTTTTGTGTGAGATCAAGAGAAAAACCGGTGAAATCCTCAGTTAGGAATGCTCGAGATTCTCCCGGTAAAAATGCAGTTTGCGAGTGTAAGTTTGGCAGCATTGGAGTGTAGTTAGGTTCTTTTGCGAGGGGGACGACGTTTTATGTTCGGGGGGTCGACGCGACTGGTGCCGATCCCTTCGACGAAATGTCAAGGATGGAAATGGGAAAGGTAAAAGGCAAGGGCTAAAGGGAAGGGAAATCGATAGGAATTGAAAGGAGATTGGAATACAGGGTTATCCGAGAATCCGGGTCTTGAAAAGGAATGCAAAGTGTAATATCCTGGAATGAAATGTCTTAGCTGAGATAGTGTTGCCCTAATTTTACTGAATTTTCAGGGGCTGTATATCAATAGCCAGAGTGCAAAACCGCGTACCTATACCAGTGGTAGTGAAAACGGGAGAAGTAGTGGAAATCTGTCAATATCCGGAAAAGTCAAGGAAAAATGAGATTGAAAGAATCAAAGGAATAAAAATTCCTACGCTATTACGTATTCTATTTCAATTAATACTGATCCAGTCCAGTGGCGTGACGTGCTTTGCGATGTATCAATTGTTATGCCATTTAAACCTTTGGAAAAGGATCGATAAACAGGGTGTTCGCAGCGAACACCTTAATCGATTCTTTACTACAGGTTTAAAGGACATAAAAATCGATACATCACAATTCACGCCTCGCCACTGATCCAGTCGTAACCGAGAAAGTGAAGTGTCAACTAGATCCTGTCAAAATCTTTTCTCAAGTTTCCGTTCCTTCTCTGTTTAAAAATGCTGGAAGGAAACGTTTGAAGTTACTAGGGAAGAAAGAAAAATTGATCGCTTTTGTTGGCAACTTTTCCGTCACCATCACCACCTTTGCGGCGCGAAGGAATGCCGGCTTTGGATAAGTGTGTAATCGAATAGTCTTGCGGCTTCAACAGCTCCACGGAATTCTAGATGTCTTCGCGAATACGAGCATCTCTGTCTACCTGACAATCGCACTGTTTTGGCCCGTGGATAAAATCTTTCCGATCCTATTTCGATTTAAATCTATTTTTGATATCATTAGGAACGAGGCATCCATGTAATTATCACTTATTCACCAATAGCGCGGAATAAACGACCAATTATCGATATTTTCCCATTTGAAACGGTGGTAAAGAATCGATTACTAAGGTGTTTGTTTTTATCGACCCTTTTTCATAGGTTTAACCATGATCACAGATGATTATACACAGATCAATCGATATATCGCAAGGTACGCCACGCCACTGATACTTACTGTAGACCGCCAGGTGTTGTCAGGCCTCGAGGGAAATTTCTCCTAATGGACCACTAGACAAGGTACGAATTTAAGCATTCTAATACATGTTATTTGACCAGAATTTCACGTAAAACACGACGCGCACCACGAAAATTACCGAAATCAACTCGTTATGAAGATATTTAATGATTCTTGATGCGTGAATTCAAACCACCCGCTCATGAAAACTCAATGCTCTACGTGACTCACATCGCGCGCTAAACGTTGTCATGACAGTCTCTGCGATATAAAAATCTGGCAACCTTAATCTTGACGCTTTAGCTCAGCTATTGCAAGTTGTTTATAGTTTGAACAGCACGTGGTGGGAAATGAACATCGCTTGATTGAGAAGTTTGCTGAAACCGTTCTGGTGCACGATTTGACTCACGTAGAGCTTTGAGTTTCTTGTGAGCGGGCAGTTCAAAATCCGCGTAAGCAATGTGTAATAAAAACGTTAATATCTTCGTTAGGAGTTGGTTTCAGTAATTTTCGTTGCGCGAATCGTGTTTTACGCGAAATTCTGCAAAAGAAACATGTATCTGAGTGCTTAAATTCGTACCTTGTCTAGTGGTCCATTGCATCGTCAGTTTTGACTACCAGAACCTGCCAGAACAATAATGCAATTAATGTCAGTTTCCAGCAATTGAAAGGAGGTATAAAATGCGGTTCAAATATATTTTGATAGAATTTTGCACTTGGAATGCCAGATTATCTGAACGATTGCATCTATTTGTGACGGTCAGCGAAGAAACTTCGGGGGTTTGACCGCAAAGCGGTCAAGGAGCTAGTTACCTTCAACATTCATTAGTTTATTTTATTGAAAT